AAGCTGTGCCTTTCTAGGCTTCAGGCAGACTCTGTGGAGGTTGTTCACAGGAAAGACATATGCACAGATTCTGGTCTTACAACTCCCTTTCCCGCATGTGCTGCAGAGCCTGCTCCTTGCATACAACTTTATAAAAAGGCCATGTTAATGCCACAGTAGTTAGTAAGTGTGGTGTCAAAACATCTTATGTGTATCATCAAAAAGTGATTTTTCCCAGAAATATATTTTTAATCATGCATTATGATATTGAGAGATAGAAAGAGAAAATTAGGGTATAAACTTTCAAAATTCCTATATAGGAAGCACAATAAATACACAACTGGGTGAGATGAACCAATAAAAAGCAGGAGAAAAATAGTAACCAGGGATAGTAAAGCTACTCGAGTGTTGTAGAATTTCTCTACCTTAGGGGAACATGTCCAAATATACAATACATAAACACACATATTACAAGCCAAAATTGAAGAATTTAGTCAATATTGCAAAGATATCAGAGCTTTGAGAAAAAAAAGGTTGGAGGGGGTAGTGAGGGAAGAAAATAGAAAAGAGAAACAGGCTTCAGAGGTGCACTCAGTAGGTCCCTGGCAAAAGGCAAGCTTCTCAACGCACAGAGGCTACAGTGAGGCCAAGGCCAAGGCCAGCACCATGCACTATCATAGAGAAAGACTGACAACTGCGTGTTTCCAGTGGTTCTAGGCTTTTTGATTGTGCCATTTAATTTGTACCACATGCCAGTGAGAGCATCATTATATCCATTTTGCAGATGAGGAGACTGAGGTTCTGCTTATGCAGAATATGGATGAACACTCAAGGTGTGCACCGTGACCGCCTGTACCATTTCTCCTACGCCATGCTGCCTCTCCAATGCTCGCCTGTAGGGACCTCAGGACATCTTTCTCCATGGATCTCCTCAGCAGGAAGATGTTTCTTGAATGAACTGTGAACCAGACTTCCTGAGAATGCAACCAGCAAGGGCCTGCATCCAGGCTAGGCCTGCCGAGGGGGCCACCAGATGGAGGGCACCCAGATAGTTATGACTGCTATGGGGGAGAGAGAATGTATGGGGTATCACCCCGCTATCTGCTAAGAAGAGCAGAGGAGCAGTAATATTTTCTTGAAACAAGTAGCAAGTGATTCACCTATGAATGTGTACATCAGCACAGGGTGGGGAAGGCCATAACACACCAAGCTGGACTTAGAACTGCAGAGCAGCTGGGCAGAGGGCTTTCAGGACCCCCGCCCCAGGGGCCCCCTTTGCCTTCGGTTTTGAATGAATGCACAGTCATTACTTGTGAGTCTTACTTCTGTTGCCAGAAATGTGTAAGTTAATTAAATCATTTCTTTTCCTTTAGCTGTGGGATGATGTAGGGGCCGATGTGGTTGTGGTACTGGATGAGTGGGCTGACTTTGGAGCCAACAGATCCAAGGCCCAGGGACACTGTCCCCTCGCCGCCTAGAGGCTGGGCATCCACCTACCTCTCTGAAATGGGTTTCCATTTTTTAGAAAAGATCCTTTTTGGCTCTCCTAGTCTTTATTGCACTGACCTGCTGACAAAGAAGGTACTGCCCACCCTGGTCTGCCTCCCTCCTGAGCCCTATGCCATGCAAGGGAAGACTCTCCCTGGAACTCCCCAGCTCCAGCCAGAGAACCTTCTTGACATGCCCCCTGGCACTGGTGGGCAGTGGCCTCTGAACACACAGCCCAGTAACCTTGTCCAGTTCCACAGCTCCCAGGAAGATAGCAGCATCTTCCATCTAAGGCAGCAGTCGCCTCATCTACCCATAGTCCTGGGGACCCCACCCCTAATCAGGGGGTGGGTGGAACACTCACATTAATGCTGAAGTGCTCTCAGAGGGGAAGTGGGAGTGAGTTGCCCACAGCATAAGTATTTCCTGAATTATTGTACTGCTGGGAATATTTTGCCCATTAAAGTAGATCAGAATCAGATCCTAAAGTTTATTTGTAAATGCCACCGAAGCACTATGCATCAAGTTCTTTTAGCACTAAGAAGTCCAAGGATACCAGAAAAGGAATGTTTTGCCAACATTCTAGTTTGATGAGATAAGTTTTTCCCTGATCATTTATTCACTCCACTCATTCATTCAACAAATACTTACTGAGCACCTGTTGTGCGTGAATTCCTTTACTAACCTGCAAATACAGTGATTAACCAAACAAAGCCACTATCCACACAGCAATAACATTCTACAAGCAAAGAGGCACATATTAGGGGATTTACGGTAGCTTAGAAACAGGCTATTTCTGAGCCAGAAGGACCACTCCCCCCCCCCCCCCAAAACAGAGATTGGGGTGGAGGAAAAATTTTTTCCAAGAAGGGCTACAACAGCCTCCTCTAGAATATTTTTCTTGCCTAGCTGTGTGATTGAGAGAATTAGTTTAGGAGTACAAATGTATTAGCCAAGTCTCATTTTCCTCCTTGGAAAGACAAAGCCTTCAGCACCCTGAAAAGCATCAAGAAAAGCCTGTGGCTTCCAGCTCCACCGGGGACAGAGGAGCTTCTTCCCAGCATGTCTGGCCCGGGAATGGGTTAATGTGCTCAGAGCACTGCATAAACAGTGCGCGTCAGGCGTCAGGCGTTCTAAGCAAGCTTCATCTTCCCTGTCTTCCAGTCCTGGGCTGTCAATCAACTGTCACTCGCCTGCACATCAGCAGTGTGTGCACATCACCAGGCTGTCAGCAAGGCGGCTGATGAGACTCGGCTCAGGACTGTCAATCATCTTTGTTTCTGTTCTCCACTCGGGAAATATTTTGGCTCCGAGAAACAAAGAAACCTGGGCCACAACGGCTCACAGTCAGGCATTCATTCCTGGGCATGGGTATAAGATCTTACACAGGCATTGATCGTGGCTCATCCCCCAGTGATGGCGGGGTGGGGGATGGACAGAGGGAAGAACGAGAATCAGTTTCACAAGCATAGGTTTTAAAACTGTGATTCCATTTCCCTGAGCAGACGCTGATGGATTCCCAAACCCACAAAGCATGGGAACATAAAACAATGATAACTCAAAGTTATCTGAGCTTATGCCTCAGAAAAACACAGAGAAGCTGCGAGAGGGATGACTAGGGATGACTGGTTTGTTAAAAGTCATTCAGCATTCTCCGTTGATCAGACAGCCTCTGGGCGAGAACAATTGTGGCACTGCTGATTTCACTTATCTGCCAGGGACTTCGAAAACACAGGGCTTGAGCCTGCTTGAGAGCACCCATACCTGGGTCCCAGCAGGACCCCCAGAAGGGGGCTTTCCACAGCTGGTGACAGGAGTCACTTTTGTCCACACTAAACAGACTGCTGTCTATATATATATATATACACACACACACACATATATACATATATACACACATATGCACACACATATATAGGCACTTCAAAAAGTTCAAGGAGAAGGTACATTGTGAAAAAATTATGCATTCATTTCTTTGTTTACATTCATTTGGAAGGCTGAGGGACAGAGACAGAAAGAGCCATCACCTGCTGGTTCACTCCTCACGTGCCTACCACAGCTGGGGCTGGGCCAGGTTGAAATGAGGAGCCAGGAAATCGATCCTGGTCTTCCATGTGGCCGACAGGGGCCATCATCTGCTGCCTTCCTGGGTACATCAGTGGGAAGCTGGATCAGAAGCGTGGGGGAGCCGAGATTGGAACCAGGCTCTCTAACAGGGCAATGCCGGCAACCCTAGCGGAGACCACCCCATGCACCAGAGGCCTGACCCTCGATTTCCTTGTTTATTTTTGGCAACAAACACGAACTTTTTTTTTAATTCTATTCTCCACAAACTTTTTGAATCATCCTTATATTACCCTCCTCTCTCGCCTATAATCTTCATCAGAGATGTTCCGTACCCTAAAAGCCCATAATCCACAAATCTAATGAGATGCATCTGGCAATGCACTTCAATTAGGCAGCAAGTCCACCTTGGCCTACCCTATCCCACCTCCCCACCTTGCCATTGCCATTTCTGCAAAATGATGATAAGCAGAAATAAGTCTCAGCATACCCAGTTAACAAATCTCGCAAAATATCCAAATAGTACTAACTCAGTGGAAAGTACCCCCAAATTCAAAGGAAAAAAAAAATCCTGCCAGTCCCCAGTGGCTTTGAAATAGGATCAGCAACAATCAGAGCTTTTAATTGCCAATTACCTATCCATTGCAAAGGCTTGGAGTGACTCGCTCAGGCTGTGGCTGATTCCGTCATCATCTTCTCGTCTGTGACAGCGGAGAGGTTTTCTCCTCGGACGGATCCTTTCATATGTGCAACGCTGATTTCTGAAAACACATCTCTCTCTGATCTAACCGGACATTAATTGCTTTTGTGCTGATGTATGTATGCTAGCACTGACTAGCAAATCTGATTTCTGACAAGTTGGCTGAACCTAATCAGGACAGATCAGCTGTTGCCCAAGGTGCCACAGGCTGTAATTTGAGGATCTTTACAGAGTTATCACTGGCTGCAAAGACAGGGAACTATAATTCTGTCAACACTAATCCCAAACTGTATGTTCAAAGCAGCTGTGGCCTCCTCCTTCGCCAAGAAAAGATAGCACTTGTCAAATAAATACCTGAGATAATTGATAAGAGGGAACTAAAAGGATGTGGCTGATACAGTGAAGGGGAGGAATTTTGTTTGTTTGTTTAAAGAAAACCTCAGAAGCAGAACACTGGGTGCCAGTGAGAGCCAGCAAGGATAAAAGAGGGTGGCCGAGAAGAGACACGTGGAGACGTCCCATCACTGGGCTCCACTTCAGACTGGGTGTGTTTGCTTCAGTCTAAACAGGCAGGTGCCCAAACATCCTAAGCCTCGGATGAAATCGCTGAGCACGACGCAGGGAGCCACTGGGAACAAGGCCTTGACGGGAGGTAAGAGCATTGTCAGGAGTGGAGGAATCACTGTCAGGCTGCCAGCACCGAAGACCCCTGCGGTTTTTAACAGGCGCGGAGAGAGGGAGTATTAGGAAAAAGAAACTTCGTTCTTACTGTATCGCTTTGGTCCATCTTCCAAACAAAATGAAAGGGTTAATGTGGCGTCATCTTCAAAAAATTCAGTGGCAAACGCATCCCACCAGAGGTTGTCACTGTCCTGCAAAGAGACAGATCATTTATTTAACAGGCGAGAGCGGAGCAAAATGTCTCACAGGGGAAAGGAAAAAGGAAGAGAAAGAAAACCCAGTAGCTGCCGCTGGAGTGTCCAGAAGGCTGGGCAGGCCTGCGGTCGCACTTGGAATTAATTGTCTCAAGTCGGGTCTGAATTCCAGTTCCACCAGCGACCTAACACAAACTGAATGAGAACTCACTTCTCCAGGACATGCTTGGAGAGATTCAATAAATGGACTATGGAACACTGTGATAATTTTTTAACCAAAGCATTTACATTGTATATAAAATATATTCAACACCCCCCACACTTTCTCTCTCTCTCCTTTTTTAAAGAGTTCCTTTTTACAAACAGAGACCACAATATTATAACCAGGTTAATAGGGTCATTTGCCTGCAATTGTTTCGATCAAGAAGGGATGTCCCTAGCCCTGCTCTGAGCAACTGCCCCACTATGAGATGCCATATGCAATAGAGATATGGCTCCACGGAGAGAGAAAGGTGGGTGAGTTGATGACCAAGCAACCATCCTACGCATGCAAATTGTTCTTTAGGGTTGTTTTAAGACAATAAGCAACCATGATCTTGTTATTCAAATGATTATTAAAAATAGAGCAGTTCAACAGAATGCAGGCCACCCGCACGAACTCTTTGTCTTGGGCTGAATTTTGCTCTTGCTCATCCAGAAAACACTTTGGAAGTGGCCCAGTTTAAGGCAGCTAGAATCACTGCTAATCTCCAAGGGGAGAAGGCCGCCTCCTAAAACAGTGAATTAGCAAAGTTATGCAGAGTGTCATATTTAAAGGACAAATCATACCCTGGCCTCACTCTGTATATGGCCCAATTTACCCTCCAGTTCTCCAGCACGATCTTTTTCCAGAGAATTGCTGGTTAGTGCCAGATTTTAGGAGCAGATGCTTCCCAGCTGCCTGTCGACTGGGAGGAGGGGACAGAAGGGGATGGCAGCTCCCTGCTCCTGGTGCCCACCACTGGGGCCGTCGGGGAGGTGTGGCAAGCCTCTCTTCTTCCCAGTAAGCTGCTCTGCTCGGGACAATGCTAAGATGTCGTCCCTGGCAGCTCTCTAGAGTGAGCCTCCAGTCCGGGCAAGAATAACTCAGGGATCGCTAAAGACTCACGCTGTTGCTCCTGTCCCCAAGGGGCCGGCATTCGGCATAGCATTTAACCTGCTGCCTGGGTCTCCGACATCTCATATCACGGTCTGGGTTCAAGTGCTGGCTCTGCTCTGCATTCAGGCTTCTTGCTAATGTGCACTCTGGGGGTAGCAGGTGATGGTTCACGTAGTTGGGTCCCTGCCACCCACATGGGGGACTTGGCTTGAATCCCTGCTCTCAGCTTCTGCCAGACCCAGTCCCACCCTCAACTGTTGCAGGCATCTGGGGCATGAACTAACAATGGGGTCTTTCTCCTTCACTATCTTTCAAGTAAATAAATAAATTGATCTTTAAAAATCAAGAAATTATATTAATTTATGTGTATTTTTGTCTCTTTCTCTGGCTTCTCCCAATTGCCACAGCAAAATCCAATACTTTTCTTAGTATAACACGGTTAAATATAAAACCATCCAGGAGCAATGCATGGCTTGAGATATGAACTACCTCCATTTTTCCTCTCTCAAGACCAAATATTTATTGAGCACTTATACATGCAGGTTCTCAGAGAACAAAACCGAATCAGAGTTTGGTCCCTCCCTTCAAAGAGCTCAAAACCCAATGGCAGAAAACAAAGAACATGGACAACCATCAGGCAGCCTCACTCCACACCTGAGAGCGCAGTGCATGGCTCAATGCTATGGGCTCTGTCTGGGATTGTAGAAAAACCAGTGGGCTCAAAAGTGGAAGAGTCCAGTTGGGAAGAGCAGCTCCGTTTGGGAGACTGCATTCGTTGGTTTATTCGACTTCAAATTGCTACCCAGATGGAAAAAGTGTCATAGTTAACGTTACTGAGTTTCTACCATGTGCCAAGCATTATTCTAACTGTGTGTGTTTTCCCACTTAATTCACATTACTAACCTGTTTCTAATTTTTTTCTTTCTTTTTTCTCTCTAGTACAAATATAGGATTCTTGCAAACAGGGGACCTGTCTCTGCTCATTGCCCTGTCTTCCACACCCTGGACTGGTGTCTAACACAAAGTACTAGCAAACAAAAGTTGATCAATGAGTGAAGCTGTTCGTATTATAATTCCTACTACGCAACTGCAGAAGCCCAACATTAGGTGGTCAATGTCTCTTACCCAGCTGCACTCAGACAATAAAAGGTGGAGATGGGATTCAGATTCATCCCACCCTGCCCCACTCTCTGCTCTGTACAATCACCTGCTACTTTCTCTGGAAGTCTTTGGCGGGGGTTGGGGGGGGGGCTAGGATTCACAAGAGGGGAGGGAGAGCCAAGATGCAGTGCTTGTTCCCACTTGGTCTCTTCCTGGAGATCCTTGCTTTGTTGGGTATGTTCATCACTAGAACTCCTGACACCACATCACTAAGGGAGTCTTTTCCTGTAGGTCACAGTGCCACTTCCTGGCTATGGGCACTCAGGCAACTTATTTTTTATCTTCCTGGACCTGTGTCCTGACTCAGACATTGAAGGTGACAGCAGCAATGTAACTATTCAGCAGTGCAGATGTGAATGTTAAACATGTTTGTGGATGTAAGTTGCTCAGCTAGCCTCCCAGAACACAGTGAAGATCAACAGAATGCCTTTTCCTGCCTCCATCCACCATCTTCAATATCATTTATAGTGCTGGAGACAGTCTGTGTTGCAAAGAACTGCAACAACAATGAACTTTGTCAAACAGTCTGTTTATAAATCAAGTGCTTTTCTCTGTCACTGCCACAATTTACATCTCATTTACCTGGCAACAGCATCTGCCTACAACAATTAAAAACCTGAATGGAAATTGGTAAACTCTCTTTCGTCTGGCTCGGTATGCACAGGCCCGACAGCTGGATCAGATGCACCATATCCATCTTCCACCTCTGTTAGAAATGGACCAGTGAAGGCAAAAGCCAAGAGGCACCCAGGATGACCTGAGGTGGTGGGAAGAAGAGAACAGTCCCAGACTACAGGGAGGTGCAAAGGTACAGTGAGGTCCCAGGCTACAGGGAGGTGCTCCAGGTCCCAGCTAAGTAGGCTCCAGCAGCAGCCGAGAGCAGTGCAATGAGCCCTGAAGGGGAGATGGCATCTGAGTCACATGAACTGCAGTAGCCTGGTAAGAGTTAACAACTCGGGAAATTTCAGAACAGCTTTGCTAGGGGAAGGGCACCTCGGGTAGCCACACACACAGACCCTCAGAAACGGACTTTGATCACAGATCTTAGAAGAGCACCCCTAAATGAAAATGCAATATTTAAGTTCATAGGGCCAGGCATAAAATAGGCAAATAAAATGACATGTTTTGATTGATTGAATGAAATTCCTTATCAGGCCATCACAAAGTCAACTCAAGAAAAGCACTCCAGAAAACAACATCCAGAGATCTTGATCACTGCCTCTACTTTGTCTTGTGGCCTCTATTTTTAAACTGACATCAATATTTTTTTTCTTTCATTTAATTTATTTGAGACAGAGACAGGGAGAATGTGAGGTCCTAATTGCTGGCTTATTCCCCCATTACCCTCACTAACCCAGAGTTGGATCGGGGTGAAGCCAGGAGGGGTATCAATCCAGCCCTTCTATGTGGAAGGCAGGAATCTAATTGCTTGAGCCAATACTGCTTCTTTGATAGATCTGTAGTAGTGAGATGCTAGAGTCAGGAAGTGGAGCCAGAACTTGAGCTTAGGTAGTCCACCATGGATGTGGGTATCATATGCTAAACACCTGACCCTGCTACAGTTTTACACTGTAATTGTCAACAACCTCCGCCCCACCCTGAATACCTGCATGCTTGTAAAGGTTCTGAACCAGTCCTTAATTAGGAAACAAGTTTAACAACAAGTAAAAAGTTGTCATTAAAATAAAAGACACAGAGGTATAAGGAAAAACCATTAAGTGTTGACCATGGGCCAGTCTTGTGCTGGCCATTTATGAAGGCAGCTGTGTATGGAAAGAACATACATTTGGAGCCCCTGGATTAAAGATAATACCCATAAGTCAAGTATTTGCTAAGTGCTTCTATAATGATGAATTTCGTTTCCTATAGTCCCAATTGCCCTATTTGCTACCAGTGGGCAGAACAAGAAGCATTAGAGAGAATTTATGTCCCTAATTTCTATGTTACCCTACCTTGAACAATGACTTCTGCCCCTTAGTCAACTTACCTAAAGTTCCTGCATCTGTGTGTTCACTTGGTGAGTGGGAATGACGATTTCAGTGAACTGTGGGGACCAAGATGAAGTATACCAGCACATACTAGTTGTTCCATAAATGTTGGCTATTATTAATTATTATTGCCTTTGACATTAAAAACTGTAATAAGTAGAGAATCTGAATCCCACAAATGTTAAGCTACTCACTAAATATCAAATAGCAAGATAGTGGTGACACTGAAGTTAATATAAAATCTAACTCCAATTCATAGTTTGGTTTTTCTCCCCCCAGATAATTCTCAGGTTGAGGATGAAATGGCATGTAAGAGCTAAAGGAAGAGGTCAGTTGGTGTTGCCTTGAAGAAGTTTCCTCCTCCAACATCTTTGAGGGTTTGCATGCTTTTCCACACCTTCATGTGGATTTTCTGATAATAAACATCTTCTCTGGACACCTCTTGCTGCCATTTTTCTGTCTGGTACAGTTCTTCAGATCAATAAAGCAATTTTGTAGACAAAATTTGCATATTAACAAGGCTAGGAGTTCAGGATGTGACTGAAAGATGGCTATGGAAACCTCTGCTGAACAAATCAAGAAGTTTCTGCAGAAATAGAAGAACCATGAAACTCCCAGGTCCCTCTTTGGCTCAGGTGATATGGCCAAGTTCAACAAGATGACGAGAAAGAGGCTGCATGAGTCAAGTTATCAAGGCTATTTTGAGAAAA